GGCTTTTAAAACATTGATTAAAACGGTGCATCCATATCCCGGGCTAACAGAAAAGTTAAGTTTGACCGTTAGTTGACCGAAAAATCTAACGTGGCGGACACGTAGGCGTCTGATGTGTATTATTTTGACGAGTTAAGGTGCGCCCAGCACCCTGAACTATTTTCTCAGGTGCGCCTAGTGTTATAAAGTAATTTTTGGTGCATCCAGTGTTCCAAACTAATTAAAATGGTGCGTCCACATTTCAGGCTAACAGAAAAGTCTCGTTTGACCGTTACCTTGTTGATTCAGCTAAAGGTTGATCGAAAAATCCTACATGACGGACACGCAAGCGTCTGATGTGTATTATTTTGACTGAAAATTCAATTTATTTCCTCCTCTTCTAACATTTATCTTCTGTCAGTTTTTAAACTTATAAAAAAGAAAGATCACCGATCCACCCTCTTAAATCCCGGTTCATGTACCACCCATTCAATCTCATCCTCGTCTTTAACATTTTATCCCATTTCTTCCACCACTCTGATTTGAAACCACAACCGCTGTCACAGCACACTTCCATCTTCATCTCTGTTGACTCCTCATCCGACTCGCATTTGCTTTCCTCCTCATAGAACACAGTAAACTTCCCCTTAGTCACTCCATCGACATCGTCTTCGCCTTTTGAGAAAACACCCGCCGCCACCGGGCTCGTCTCGGGAGCTTTAGTCAAAATAATACACATTAGACGCTTGCGTGTCCGTTATGTAGGATTTTTCGATCAGCTTTCAGCTGAAGCAGCAAGGTAACGGTCAAACGAGACTTTTCTGTTAGCCTAGGATGTGGACGCACCGTTTTAATTAGTTTGGGACACTGGATGCATCAAAAATTACTTTAAGACATTGGGCGCACCTTAACTCATCAAAATAATACACATCAGACGCCTACGTGTCCGCCACGTCAGATTTTTTGGTCAACTAATGGTCAAACTTAAGCTCGGGATATGGATGCACCATTTTAATTAGTTTGGGACACTGGATACACCAAAAATTACTTTAGGACACTGAGTGCACCTGGAAAAATAGTTTGGGGTGTTGGGTGCACCTTAACCCTATTAAAAATAGAGTGGGAAGGCCCAAGCTAGCCCACATATCATATAAGACTGAATCACGAGCCCCCATATGCCTTACTCTACATGTTACTATTTATTCCCGATTCTTATATAAAAACTAGTTAATTAATTTAAATAGATTAAAAAAATTAGTTAAGTTAGTTATTTATAATAAACATGTCATGTCTTTTCTAAATTTTTCTTACTAATCAAGTGTATTAGCTAAAACTATCATTACAAAGACTACCAAGGAAAAAAATAGATAAATATGAGAGACAAAAGGGATTTAGATCTTTCACGGAAAAAAGTAGATTGGAGTCTTATATTTAGAACTAAAATAAAAGTTAAATGAGTTCTTATATTAAGGACCGAAGGCAGTATATTATTGCTAGCTCAACCAAGCCTAGCCAACAAGAGTTGGTTCAATTGACAAAAATTGACTTATAACTTATAAAATTGTGAATTTAAATCCTGCTGCCGATATGAGGACTTTGTTAGTAGGTAATCTATAAGTAACTCTGTTTCTCTTTGAGCTTGGAGACCTGTTTTCACTCTAGTGAGCTCCCAGAATTTAACTCACTTAAACTTTCATTCGCTTTTTTTTTTTTAAAAAAAAAACTCAACAAAGTTAAGTCCACGATACTAGTATCTCATAGTTGAAGCAAAATTTCATGCACTTGATTAACGTGAGTTAGGTTTTATAGAAGGGATTAGTCCCTCACAATGTAACGAATCAAAATCCCCGCTATGAAAAATGTTTACATTTAATACCCGACAGTGTTTTAAATAAGATCACCTTTAATAAGAAAATATTTATATGTAGCAAAAAATTTCATGCATGTGTTATAAAGCCAATAAAAATTATATTTCTAGACAAATGATGAAAGAAAACTATAATATTTTTTATTTTAAACATAAGAACTAATTTATGGTACAAATTACATTACATATTAGGTTTTATATTTAAGACCAGAGGTAGGCAGTGTGTGTATATATTTGTACGTATGTATATATGTGTATATAAGGCAATAGTCAGCAGTGATTTGCATGTGTGCAATAAAACTAGACGCATTAAGGAGTAAACTAAAACTTGTTTGGGCATTGCACATGTTGGAGGGGATTGAGGTCTAAGTGATCAGTGAGCATTTTAAAACACACCAAGTGATAGTTTGAAACATTATAACTAGGTTCAAGTGAATGAGCGTTTTAAGAGAGTTTCAGGGAGTCCTTTAGGGCTGAAACAGTGATAAATGATTCTTCCTGCGACACCCTCTAATTGGATTTGTAATATTCTTTTTTATGCATTGCATTATATATAGTAGTAGCATTATTAAATCCATTTTTAATACATTGTCAAATCTTAAGTAAGGAGTAACTCTCTCGAAAACATCTTTTAAATTCAAATAGAGTTGAAATATCTAATAAGAAAATAACCAGTAATAATGTAATGTTTAGTTAAACTTGTGCTTTTTAATAATCATGAGCTTGTTTGTTCACCCAAATAAAGTTAACAAAATGGCATTCATCTCAAGTGAAAACGAGAACGTAGTAAGTAAATGGCTTAAGTAAAAAATAATTAATTCTAACTCGATCATTTGTGAATCTAAGTACTTTATTTTTTAAAAAATAATTAATCCATATAGCAAATATAGCCTAACTTACTCTCAATTAACAAAAAATAATCCCTGTTTCTAAATTAGCACACAAAATCAAAATCAAAATCATGCAGGCAAAACCCAAAACAAAAAATCAAGCGCCCGGCGCGGCGTCCTTCACCTTGCCCTGCAAAAGGCGACCATACTCCCAAGCACAATCCTTCACATGGCTTGCCGTGTCACAGATTCGGCTCCGCGCGTAGTCGACCCGGTCCGAACCGGGCGGGTGGAGTCCACGGAAGTACCGGCACGTCCACGACAACGATGCCAGGACGACGGCAGCGAATCCGCAGACGGCCAGAAATCCGGCGACGAAGAGGAAGAAGATGGCAGCGGCGGGGACCCAGATGGGACTGGATAAGACGACTAACGGCGTGAGGATAACGAGAGTTAGAGTGATCCCGGCGACAGTTAGACCAGCGACGAAGAGGGAGATGGAGGCGATGATGAAGATGGTGACGAGGCCGACGAACTGAGAAGGGGTTGGTGCCCGTTTATGAAGTTTACGTAGAAATGAGGAGGATTTGGGTTTTGAGGCTTTTTGCGAATTGGCTGAGGTGGGTTGCGCTTCAGCCATGGCAAATAGGTTGAAGGTTCGAGAGAGAGAGTGAGAGAGTGAAGAAGAGAAGGGAATTTGTAAGAGGAAAGAAAATTTCTATTTTGGGATGAAGATTTGGTCATCTTAGAAGGGGCCATGAGGGTAGATCAATGTAAGAGACTCGGACTTTTTCTTTCGCACCAAATTCTTTGGTGTAATAAGGATCCCCTGTTTTTTCTGGGGCCAATTATGGTGTTTTGCTCTTTGATCTGAGGCTTTCATATATCACACCACAAGTTTAAGTTGCACTATGATAGTAAATTTTCTTTCTTTGCTTTTCCCCCCCTTTTTGGGTGAAAGTTTTTAACTTTTTTTAGCGTGTGTGTGTGTATAAACTTCTTAACTGGGCTTTTAAAGAATTGTCTCTCAGCTAAAATATATATTCCATTGGAAAAAAAAATTCAATTACTTGATGACTTAGCATGGCATAATTTGAAGTTTAGTTGATTATTAACTTCAGTCTAAGCTGGCATTTTCCCCTCAAAACGATTTTTTTTGTATGACTTAGGGGGTGTTTGGGAAACCCAAAACCATGGTTTCAGAAGCACTTTTCCGCAAAACGAGGTAATCTCCTCCACATATTTACTTCGTAATCCGTAAAAACACTTCTGAAACCATGGTTTGGTTTCTATCCAGACACCCCCTTAGTATATTCTCAAAACACTTTGAACTTGATACTAATTTGTGTCCGATTGAGAATGTTAAGATTAAAATCCTTGTAACAAATATATTTTTTAGGGTTCAAACTTGCAGTCTCCTCCTTGTAAAGTAAAACCGATTTTTATTTCAACCAACAACTTGTTAATCCCCTCAAAATGACTTTATTCACTGATTATTTGGTTTTGTAAAACTTGTATAATGGGAGTTATTTTAAAACAGAACTGATACTAATATACTGTACAAACGCAAAAGCCTGTAAAATGCATCATACTTCTATATTAGATGAGCTGTCGTCCATTTCGCTCCAACAAATCAAATAAACAAGTTTTTTTGATAACATCAAATAAACAAGTTTTATCGTATGACAATTTGATTAAAAAAATTGAAAATTTCTAAAAACAAAAATATAATTTTAGTCCTAAAAAGCATGTGCAACTTAGGATCAGGTATTTAATCAAAATCCTTATTGTTACCAAATGTTATTGATACATCAACAATACGTCATCCCCCTAAATTTTAACTACGACTGACTATAATTCTTAAAAATAACTGTCTAATAAAAAACTATAAGCAGCTTAACTCATATCGACCTCACCTCAACAGACTAAAAAATTATGCTTTCCTCTTTAAAAGATCAACTCAAAAAAGTAAACTGAAAATTCAAGAACCAAATTATTAGTAATTGAATTATTTATTATTCAAATAATAAATTATGCTCGAAGATTTCGTGTCGCCCAGGAAGATGCAACCTCTTGGACAAGTCGAAGCATCGTTTACATTTTCTATAATGCTTTTTTCGCCCAAACGTCATTAGATCTCAAAACACAATCAAGAGTTCGGCTCATCATTCTCTACATTGGCCCTATGTGCAGAGCTTTGCAGCGTCAAGATTCTGGTCCCATATGAACACAAGGACCAGCACCAACATTGGATAGCAAAGCCCATTGTCATCCACGAAGTTCGACTGTAACTAATAATAATGCTACCATATGTACAGCAAATCTCGTGTAAAAAAAATGAAATAAAATAAAGATATGACCACTTAGTTTTACAGAACAGCAATCGTGAATCACAAGCATCAAGGTGTTACCCAGTGCTTGGTTTGTCGGGAAGGACATGGCAAAAAAAAAAGGGTGAAAAATGATTGAGAACAATTTGAAAATGGATAACAAACAAGGAAAAATGCGACGTAAGCATAACTTGAATAGGGTTGGACGGGACTACCACCTGGACGTCTGGCCTAACCTACCTCTGCTCTATATCGTGTCCTGAGATGCGAGGTAGTTTCGTTCTTCTCATGGATGGAGACATGAAAAGTCTTTTCACAGAACCAATAGGGTCGTCCACCTGAACACCCAGTAAAAGAAACTAAACGCATCAAGAAGTCGAATGTGTTCACCAAAAAAGAAGTTGTAGGCTACTTCACCAATATTGGCAGACATGTCAGGTAATAAAGTTGAGACTATAATATAATTAAACAAAAAAAAAAAATTATCGGAACTTTCATTGTCTGATCGCTTTCTATCAAGAGCGTTGACATTATTTCTTTCTCTTTTCACTTTCAGCAGCTGTACCTAAGAGTATGAGGGGGGCTAACTTCTTTCTCTTTTCACTTTTAGCGCCAATGGATTGGGGTGTTAGCGTGACAATTAACTATAGATTCTTGTCACTTTAGAAGCATATATTCCGGCACTTGGTTTTCTCCCAAGAACTTAAATGGGGAAAGGTAGTGTGATTCGATGCAATCTTGTCCTGACAATAGCATCCACCAATTTGTTTTGTTACAATTTAAAGATTTTTAGAGCGAGATTTGCAAATACCTTAATGATGGAAGTCGATGAGGGAGATTGATGTGGTGGAGAATTCGAATGATTTTTCTGATGAAGTAAGGCGGATAATGTCTGTTTCCATCCAGGTTCATCATCATTCAAGGATGCAATCCAGGGGCAGAAATGTCTGTGCTGCCTAATTGGATCAAACTCCATTGCTTTACCAGACAATAATGGTCTCAGGTCTTTTCCTGGAAGGGAAAGGGAAGATGATTCTGAAACTCTTCACTAATCTAACAAGTCAGCTGATAATGACGGGTAAATCATATACTTCACGCTTAAACATAGCCAAGATGATGCAACAGTCCATTAGAACATTGTCAACAGGAGGCAGGGGTTTTAGCCATAAACGAATCAAGTTTACACTTAACATAACTGAACAAGAGAGCTATAAAGTATAAACACTGAACAGAAGAAGAAAATGAACTGTAATCCACAACTAAGTTTAAATGGAAGATAATTATAAGATTTCAAGGAGCTATCAAACATAGTGCTTACCTAAATTGCAATTTACATCGTCACGGTTTACAGGATCTTCTACTCTGCTTCTGACCTCATAATTCTCAAGATTACCAAGTTGTACACCTGAAATCTCTTGTGCAGCAGAAAGGACCCTACCTTCTACCAAATCTTTCTGCACAGCAAAACAGATGTCATCTTCCGACCAAGGTTGCATATCAGATGCAACACTAGTTAGTGAGCTCATTACGCTAGTTTATACGACATCATTTTTGCAAGAAGTTATGCCCCTACTTCATTAATCATGTTCCTTTGTGCAGTCAGAATTGCATATGAGACAGAATAATTAATCGGCTGAGGAACTTTTTATACTTGTATAATAATTTACAGTAAACTTACAGCCAAAGAATCTCTAACCTGGGAGCTACTAGGACCTACTGCCACTGAAATATTCAATCCGTCAGACTCTAGATGCATAGGAATCGTATCCTTAAAACTTGGAAAGTGCCCTTCATGCTGGGTCTCCACCATAGCATCATCTACATTTGAATTAGTAGGACTAGTTTGAGGAGCAGTTGCATGTGAAATTTCCGTTGTTTCAGATGACACAGGAACAAGTTGTCCTGTGGAAGAATCAACTGTACAATCTGTTTCCTCCTGAAGCCTGATCCTCTTCTGTGAGTCAGACTGAATACTATCCCCATCAACAAAAGCATGATCTTTAAAATCAGAATCATAGGAAAGCCGAGCCCTTAAATTCTGACCAATAACAGGAAAAGATATCGTTGCTTTAAAATTTTGTTTTGTTGGAGAAGGGCCCCCAGCAATTGTCATATTTAGGCTTGAACTATATTGGGATGAAGTTGCAACATTTGACAAGGTACCTGTAACACCTTGCCTAGTTCCAAGATCATGTTTATCATGTTTACTGGATGAATTCTCATTACCATTCTCAACAATTTCTGTGTCCCCCACTAATCTGAATATCTCGACAGGCCGGGGAATAGTACCAAATGCCCACAATCCAACAGTGGCGCCACAGAGGCTACAATCTAAAACCACAGAATTCGGATTCAGTTGTTCCCCAATAGAACCCTTAGAATTTGCATCTGTGTCTAAGCTTTCATCAGCATTAGTAGAATGCCAAATGAGGTTATTATTCTTCATATCTGTAACTATGTTTTTCACGGACTGATCTGGAATATCCTTGCAGTCAACTTGGTAAGGCAGAGAACGAGGTGTCCAGCCACATAAACTTATAAGCTTCTGAGCCTGCGAAAGGTTTTTTTTTTTTTTAAATCACTAGCCGAGATGGAGATTCTAAGATATGTTCAAGATCTCATGAGAACTAATCTGATGCTGGAAATATATTAATTGACATTACGTACATCCATCATATGCATCCTTAGGTGAATAAAATTGTGGTTAAACCAGTATTAATGCAAGAGTAAGAACTTAAGCAGGCAGACTCTCCAGTTTACTCATGATGGCTCACAACACGTACTTCATTTACAAGTGAAAATTAATCAAGCCAGAAATGTAACTATCAGCAAACACCAGCCAATGTAAGTGTTGTTTAAAGCAAGAAGTCACATGGCATCTCCTAAGAATGATATGGAAGTGCTGTAACCCTATACTAAACAAAGTCTGAACAAATTATAGTTCTTAAGGAAGTGTCAAGTTAATCAAGCAATATGTCAAAAGTTGAATAAACCTCAACCTACGGAGAGCAAATAAAACCCTCTATATTTCTAGCATATAGTTATACCTGGTAATATAACTTCAGTTCATGCGGGCTGCTAAGATTTTCTATTTCTGAAGTGTTGGCAGATTCATTTCCACCCTCTAGCATTGAAGATTCTCCAAGGAATTCATCTAGTAGTGGGCTTTTCAAGCAATCTATTGTTGATTGTGAAATTTGAGGAAGAGCTGATAGTTGCAAGAGAGCAGAGCAACGTTCCCTATAATTATCGACTAATACTTGAGGAGGCGTAGGCGGAAATCTTGTTAGTGTTTCATCACAGACATTGCCCCTCCATGGACAAAGTAATTTATGTCCACTATCCAGCTTTAGACTAAACACCAAAGCTGCCTTCTCCACTGAATAAAACAAAGTCTAGGTAAAAATCTGTAAACCATATATTGTCACAAAACGGAAAAGATAGAGAAATGAGAACAGTGGCAAACCTTGCTGCTGATTCCAAGATGCTGGTGCGGAGAAAAGGATACGAGCTCCACATGCTTCACAGGCTATGGTATCAATATCTATGTTGATCCAACCTCTTCTAGCACAATTTACAGCACTTACCACCTGCAAACATTAGAAGCCAAAAGATTAACCATCACAACTTTTTTGGGAAGAGAAGGAAGGGACAACAGGAAGCCAGCTGTAAACTAAATTCACAAATAAGGAAAATAAGGAAGCGTCAGACTTTCTTTAATGAAGAAAAACTATGCCATAAGGACATAGCAATGAAAAATACCTAACTCTGTCGTATATAGTTTAACAACATTATTCCAAGATATCCACAACCACAAACTTTCAAATACTCCCCTTCTGCTAAAATGTTCATTGATGGGGAAAACTCAACTATGGGCTTATTGATTTTTTGCATTGGTAAAAATAGTGACTTATGCCTAAAGGCCTAATGCCCTCAAACTCAACCGTGCTCTCGCTCATATGAGGAAAACAAAGGAGCTAGATGAAATCCAAGGTACATAGGTAATAGCACGTATTTATGCCCAGCTCCAAGAGTAACATACATTTCACTGTCAATAAATAGTCATAGCATAAAAAATCATCAGTTATTTTCTCAAGATGCAAGTAACAGGAGAAAGACATTATATTCAGAGCATCATATCATAATTCTGATGTCAAAATGCACATATGCATTGGGATTAAAATCTTATCCAAAATTTTAGTTTTACTGAGTTATCTAGCAGTCACATATGAAAGGAAACAATAGATATTTTCGGAAATAGCAAACTAAGCATTAGATCACGAGTTTATAATCATGATGCCGAAATGGACATTTATAGTAGGATTAAAATTTTAAACAAAAGAACGAATACAAATTTTCTAAGAGAGTAAAGAAAACATTAGGAGAGGGAGAAGGAGTGAAATACTACAAATGTTAACCATGGAAAGCAAGATACAACCTTTGGTTTAGCAAACCACGATATTGATTTAAAGGTGGCTAGTCTTTTAATAAAGTCACCACGATCCCATGGTCTGCAGCGTGAACCTGTAGTGGCTCCAGCTTGAGCTGAGGAAGGCTGCCGATCAGCAGCATCCCCTTTCAAATTTGATTCCCATGCGCCTAACGTAGTTGATTCGTATGAACGTTTTTTACTTCCCGATAGCAGTACTCCTGATGTACTGAAAACAGAAAAACATATCACTACCTCCCAGTTCCTAACAGATCTTGGCAAAAATATTTAAAGCATCAAACTTCCAACTTGAGTAATTGAGCTGTGATTAAGAAACTATAATGAGAACATCTACAAAGTTTAAGTCAGCAAACCAAGGCTACATTTGCTGGTTTGAACATTTTTCAGAAAAAGGAAAATGTCAGAGATTTCGAAAGCTAATTGAAATTAATGTTCTAGTTGTCTCAAACACTTTGCGGTTCACTGTTTTACAAAGGAGTCATCACAGCATACAAACATAAGGGTAAAAAGACAGCGATATGACTCGATAATTGCTTTCAGGAGATCAGAACACCCCTTTATTTTCATGGCAGCTGAATGGGAAAAACCGCTAGGCTGATTCTTACCAATAATAATCATAGATGGAAAAAAAATGAACGAAAAACAAAGATAAGGGAGAGTACCTAGAGGTGGAAGAAGGAAGTCCGGATTTGGGAGCATGGACGAGCTTGTCCATGATGGAACGGAGCCTCTTCTCAGAATCTTGTGCCATGTTTGTTCTGTATACGACGAATTCAAAAACAGATTTCACAGTTTGATTGCAATAACAGGAGCTGAGAAGCAAGGAAGCAGCGTATATATCCTGCGTCCGTCTGTTTTTTGGCCGAGTCTTTCTCTCCTCTCACATGAATTCACGTCGTTCCGTCGTTACTCTTCTACTGCCTCTTCGTTCCAGGAAGAGGGAGAAACTTGGAACCGGCTCGCTGGGACGGCGAGGTTACGCCGTTAGGCCGATCCCATGAAATTTTAAGGCCCATTTCCTAGTTCCTCCGCCGTCCTAATTTTCTGCTCGGCTGAGGACCATGGTTGGAAAATCTATATACTACCTCTGCTTCTATATATAAAAACTAATTAATTATAATTAATTTGAGTAAATTAAAAAAATTAAATTAGTTATTTATAATAAATAGACATTATCTTTTTTAAAATATTTTTGTTTAGAATTACTGTTGTTAAAAGTACTATCTGAAAAAATAAATAAATATGAGAAATAAAGTGGATTAGAATTTTATATTTAAAATTAAAATAAAAATAGTGTATGTGTATATAACACGCACCCACCCCGGTCCTAGATTAGAGGTATAGTGTGTGTGTACAGTTTTTGTATTTTGCATTTATAAAAGATTTATCTCTCTCTAATATGTTGTGCTTACAAAAATAAAGGAAGGTAAACATTACAGAAAATTTCCACTGTGACAACTTATCCTTAATAAACATTTATTTAAAATGCATATTTGATAGGCGGCAAAAGAAATTGCAAATTTGGTGAAAAAATATAAAGAAACATTTTTTTACTTATACAAGTTTGTGTGAATTGATAGGATTGAGCGTAAAAAATGAGCATGATTTATGTAACGAAGCCTGGCTCTTGGTATAGAGAATTTGGGAAATTAAATCAGAATATAGTGTTGATGGGTGAACACTGCCCAGTATGACTTGTTAAATTGACATTAATTCTAAATATAAGATTTATTTTTATATTTATTATTTTTTTAAAATTATTCATATTGATACTCTCTCAGTTATAATCAAGTAGGAGAGGAAGAGAGAATATTAATTAAGATGATTATGATATTTTAGAAAAAAAATATCTTATTTCTTATGATAAACCAACTCACCTTTTTTTTTTTTTAATATAATCAGATTAGTTAAATATTATTTAATATTTTATATGGGTATGGACAGTTTTTAAATTTTTTTCTTGATGCAAGATAATTTTCATTTTTCTTGACTAAAGTATAAGTATCCCTTATTAGAAATAATCTTATTTTAGAATTGTCGGTATTAAATGTGAGTAACTCTTTTAATAGATATTCAAATTTAATTTATCATGTTATGAGAAACTAGTATTTTCGTTAGATTCAACTTCTGTTGGTGATATTTTTTATTTTTTATTTTTTGCTGCCAGATTATTTTCAAATTTGATTGAAAAAGAAACGAGCAATGGTCCCAAGCGTTCCTTTTTTTTTGTTTTTTAAATAACTCCCAAGCCTGCAGTTATTATCAGTAGTGAATAGTCTGGGCTATTGTAAGCAAGCCTGCTTCGATACTTGTACCTTCAGCTCAAAAAACTCCAGCCCTATCGTTTTTTTTTTGGGACTGAGAGCCCTATGTACTTTGCTACGACGAGAAACTCATCGATGAATTTTCTCATGAGAGGAATATTTCCACTAACTTTCTTCTCTATTTCTTCTCCACTTAATATTTTTACCATTAGATCACGTTGCAACGGCTAAGATTTATTACGTAAAAATATTATTATAATATTAACTTTTAAAAATAACAATAAAATAGGTAGATAAATTTATAGTTTTAAAATTTGACGTGAATGGTTTGGCAATTGTAATTTTTTATTATATCTAGTATTATAATAATATTTTTACTTAGTTTTGAACCTTAACTATTGAAAGTTAATCCAACGGTGGTGGAATATTAAGTGAAGAGGAGGTGGAAAGAAAAGTTAGTGAAAACATTTTTTTCTGAATTTTTTTACTAGCCAACATCCACGTGGCTTATTGTGGTGGCTGCTGCTACTCCCATCTTTAACATGAAATCCAATTAATTAATTTGAGTAAGTTAAGAATGTTACTTAAACTAGTTAATATAATATATTTTTTTTTATAAATGTCATAAATATTTTTAATTCTCTTTCTTCATCTCCTATTTCATTATTTGCTTATTGTTGATAGAATAAATTAGTATTAAATTTTTGATTAGGCCCTACATTAACAGAGGAGTAATTTTAAATTCTATTTATATATATAATAAATTAGTTGAGTAATTTAATAATATAATATAAATATGAAATATTACTGTGCGCATCACTAGTTAATGACTGCTAAAAATCCAAAACAAATTAAGACCGGAAATAATGTTTTACTTTTGTCTATGAATTGAAGCGATGATTATTAATGTGCAAATACTAAATACTAAAACGCGGATATGTATCCGTCGCCTTCGAATTCGAACGGAACAAGCGTAAAATATAGATACATAGAATTAAGAATTAAAAAAGTAAAAGTAAATAAGATGACAAATGAACCCGGCGAAGAAGAAAACAGGAGAAGCGAAAAAACTGAGAAGCAGTTAAGGAGGGAAGTCAAGGGCAGCCACGACCTCCTGAATCCTCTCCCCAAGATCGTTAACAAACCTCCTCGCTGATCATGGGGGTTTCAAATTCAGGTCTCTTTTTAGTCCCCCTTCAAACCTAACTTTGAACCACTCATTTCTAGCGGCACCAAGAGGGATCATAATCACAGAGACTACTCCAGAGAAACTACTCCAGAAAGAAATGGCCGCCACGCTGAAGAGCTGTTTTGTGTGCGCGTTCTTGTTTTTTGCTGCAACATGTTGATGGTGAGCAGTACAGAGTTTGCAGTCGGCGGCAACCATACTGGCTGGACCATTCCCAAATCTGCCGACTACTACAACAATTGGGCTTCCAACAACAGATTCCTCGTTCACGATACCCTTCGTAACTCTTAATTTTCTTTCTTCTAATTCCTTTTCACTCTTGATCCAGATCTATATATAGATCAGTTTCAATTTCGACCAGTATATTAATTTGTATGGGATAAATCGGTGACAATGCGTTGATGTGTAGGTTTCAAGTATGGTGAAGACTCGGTGATAGAAGTGAACGAGGAAGACTACAACAAATGCAAGGCATCGCGTCCTCTGTTCTTCTCCAACAATGGCGACACGGTGTTCACATTTGACAGGCCTGGCTTGTTCTTCTTCATCAGTGGTGTTTCTGGTCACTGTGACAGAGGCCAGAAGATCGTCGTCAAGGTCTTGGACGTACAGGCACACTCGCCCCCACCGCAAAACCAAAACCAAAACGACGACCAAAATTCTCCACACACGGAAGCTGCTTCTTCTTCTTCTCATAGCGCCGGACCCTTCGCCAAAACGACATCGGCCCTTCTCGTTGTCTCGTCGTTCATCTTCCTTCTTTTTGCTTGAGTTATGAGTTCATCATTTGGGTTTAGTGTAGCTGGGTCTTAGGTTTTTCATTAGTTATTCATTGCCTAGGTCATCGGACTATTGGATTCCATTAATCTTTGTCACTTGTCATCATGGCATGCATTAATCATTTTCCATCTAGGATGGTTTTGTCATTTTTTGGTGTTAGCATATCACTCGCCTAATGTAGATTACCATTGTAGAAATGGTACTTCTGGGTCATCATGTTATTACTAATATTAGTTCCGAATTCCGATTATATATAAATAATAATTCTGTGGTTTTTTTAAAAAATAAAACTGAATTACGCTGAGAAAATAAATGAAAAAGCAACAAGAAAACAAAAACCCAGTTGCCTCTATCGACCTACTCTTGTAGGTTGGGAGGATTATTTGTATATTTATTATTTTAATTTGTATTTCCCATAATTCAATTTTTTTTTGCTAAAGCATAGTATCCTCCTATTATAGGCAATCCTATTCGAGGTACTGTTGGGTACTAAATGTGGACACCTCTTCCAGCAGAGATTCGAACCTCGATTAGTCACTTTGTGAGAAATTAGTCCCTTCTACTAGACCCAAACCCTGTTGATCCATAATTCAATATTTGATTATAACCATGGAGAGAGATGTTTGTGAATAGGGCTGTATAAGGTGGCCCAAAAACCCGGCTAACCCAAGCCCGGAAAAAGTTGCGTCCGTCACAGCGTTCCCG